CAGCTCACAGCACTCTAGGCTAGTAGTGACCACGTGTAAACATTTATTTAAGAGTTTAGAAATTCAGGTCGCGGCAAGTGTCTTGGAGACAAATGTTTCCATGCAAACAAACCCGGTGACGTACGTTCTGCGCTCCGTGCCGCAGCCAGGCACTTGCCTATCTCCCCAGTGTGTTTTCCATCCCTTTCCCAGGACACAGGCTCTGCTGTCAGCGCGTCTCTTCAGGAGAGGGTTCTGTAAGGCTCTTTACCCCCTTTGATGTATCAAAATCGTCCTTTGATCTTCCCTAGTAAGCCAGGCACCCGCCTGCTGCCTGTTCCTGCCTCTAAAATCAACCCTGTGGTCTCAGTGGGTTTGGCAGTCTAGAGTAGCTGGTGGCTTAATATGCAAATATGCGTAGACTGTGAAAGACAGCGCTGAGCCAGAGAGGGGACACCTGCCCGAGCAGAACCGATCTAAACCAACGGGCAGTCCTGCGGCACCTTTGAGACTCTCAGATGCATTAGGTTTATCTAGGGCGGCCAACCTTTCTCTAGGAACGTGAGTGGTTAACCAGTTACCTATAAGCATCACTGGGGGCTGGCTGGAGCAGTGCCCACTGGTGGTGGGGCAGGGCTCAAGCATGCCCCACTCGCCCGTTTAACATGTAACCGATTAAATGGGATTTTACAACCACACCTTTCACCCAGGACTGGCAGGCAGACTTGGCCAGGCCCTGGGCACTGTGGGGCTTGGCTCCTGGGCCCCTAGAAGGGGCAGTGCTAGGAGTAGCCAGCCCTCAGTGCCTCCCCTGCCCGTGCTTGGTGCCACCCAGATCATACCATGTGGGGCTCCAGCAGCAATTTAAATGGTGGCTGCGGGAGCGGTGTGGCCTGGAACGTAACCCCTAGCGTCTTGAATACTGCTCATGGGCGCGTTTTGCTGCTGGCCTTGGGGAGACCTCACAGGCCGGCCTGGGGTGAATTACTGTTCCTATTGCTGGCTGAGGGGGTGCCTGTAAAACTGTGTGCCCCCTTTGCCAGGTAGCACAAAAAGAAGTTCCCTGATCACTCTAGGGATGTAAAGGGTAACTGGTTACCCGGTAGGCATGCCCTTTACCAGCAGGGTTAACCGGGGAGGGGGGCTGCTCCAATTGGGTAGCGGGCCCAGCCTGGCTGGAGCAGCCCCCCGCTGCAGGATCACGGTTAACTTTGTGACCGGGGTTTTACATCCCTAGATCACACTACATGAAGGCACAGAATCCGGTTCCAGTGATATTTTTTTCTTTCCATCTTGGAAGCCACTCACCCAACCTCTGTCCCTTCTGCCCTCTCCTGACCCGCCTGAGCCCTGAGCTTTGGAAGCCTGCTTACCGGGTAACCAGGAACCCTTTACATCCCTTGGCTCACCCACCTTAGGCCATGCAGCAGCCACTGAGTGTGCAGGGCTGGGGCTGCTTTATGAACAGCCTTTGGCCTCACAGGGCTGGCTCAGGGCTCTGGGCTGACAGTGTGCTCGTGGGACTGCATTGGGCAGAGTAATAATGAACTTCCTTCCATCCTGTCAACCCTCAAGCGCTTCACCTGAACCACAGGCCGTGCCCAGGAAGTGCCCGGCCTGCGCTCCCCTGGCACCGTGTCCCTGTAGCACGGGCCTGGCACGTCAGACACCATGACAGCAGCTCGCAGTTGATGTGTAAGACAGGAGAGTTCCCGGTCCTGGGAACAGCAGCCTCCATGCTGGGGCAGTTAGATGACGCAAGTCACCTCTTCACGAGAGCTTTCTGGGCCTGCCCCTCCCACCCCCAGGCTCCAAGGTGCTCAGCACATCATAGTCGGGCCTGAGACACGGGGGAGCAGCCCTGGGTTAAACCCTTTCCTCGGTGTCACGGGGTGTGACTCAGGGCTGGCGACAGTGTTCCCTCTCGCCTTTGCCATCCATGTGCGGAATAAATGCATGTGCACGGAGGCATGTGCCAGTGTGCACCACTGTAGAAACGAGGCCTAGCTGTGGGTGCTCCGCTCATTAGCTGGGTGGCACTAGTCTCTCCTGAATGGCTGCCCAAGCACCCAGCTTCCAGGGACCACGAGCTGGCGACCCTCCCACTGGGGCGGATGGGTACGGCCTCTGCCCAAAGGGTCCCATCCAGACGTGCTGGCTTGCTGCGTTGGTTTGGCCAGCCGAGGACACTGCTGAGCCGAGGGCAGGGAGGGGCCTTGCCCCTTGAG